TCTGACATAACAGGAGTCACAGCCGTGTCAGTATGGAATATCCTGTCACAAAATGCGGCGAAAATTCCTACACGATGGTAATAGTTTGATTAAGGTGTTTACATGCACTTCAATAATGCGACTAAAATTAATCTAATTTCTAATTAGTTCGATTATGACCTTAATCGGATTAAATTAATCATAAATCACTGTTTACATGGTGGACGCTTAAACAGAATATTGTCTGAATCGTATTAAAATTGTATTATTAGTGTCCATGTAAATTTACCGTCTTATTGAGCGATTCCTGGAATTATGTATTCAAACGATTTGTTCAAAACAGCCAATTCATTTAAAAACAGATTAGCTGCCTTTATGGATGGACTATTGGATCGCCAAAACGGCTGATTCATTTAAAGCTAGCAGCTATATTTTTGAGTCAAAACTCAAATGATTTTAGCTGGTTCGTTTAAAAACTAAAGTAACTGTCTTTATAAATGGATCACTAAATTATTAAATTATATTTGATCTGTTCAAAATGTCTGCTTCATTTTTAAATGAAGTGACTGTTTGTATGGGGAACCCTCAAACCATTACTCAAATTATTTGTTCTGAATTACAGATTAATTTAGAAATGAAGCAACAGCGTTTTCAGATCAATCCTTAAATCACTGACTCAAATAATTTATTCAAAACAGCTGATTATTTTTTTCAAAATTGACTGGACGACTGAAAGTCACTTTTTTTAATGGGTCACAGACTCAAATCAAATTATTTCAGTTGATTCTTTAGGAAACAAAGTGACTGCAATCATTGAATGAAAAGATTTCAAAACCGCAGATTTGTTTAGAAACTAAGCTGTCTATGGATTAATTTAAAAACAAAGGTACTGTTTGTATAGATGTATCACCGAGTTATGATTTGTTCTGGCTGCATATCGGCACTGGTGGGCGGAGTGCAGTGATGATATAAAGCCATATTGGACTGCTACGAGTGTGATATTGTGTTTATACAACAGCATAATCTTGTATATAAAAAGGAGATCAAACACGGAGAGTCTAAAAACCCTTTTGTTCGAGGAACTACTTCCACCATTCGTTCACTTCTGCAGCTGATGTCAGAACAGCAGAAACCGTTGCAAATTCATCATCATCACTTTGGAATGATTCTCTAGCGTAATATCTAAGGTGATGACAAAACAGGTAATTTTGCTCACATTTAAAATTATAAGGCTGAACATCATGAAATGCCATCAGTATTTCTCTGTTGCAACCAGGATATTACAATAATTAGCCCTGAAAAAGCCAAAGCAAACACTACATGATTACTATGTTGTAAATACAGCACTACAACATACAAAAGAGACAGATCGACTTAGAATGTCATTTACCTGCTTTATAATGATTTGATTAGATGTATTTAAAAATTACAATGAGTTTTTCCCCTGTTAAGGGCTTATTATGCGCTCTCTGTCACCATCTTGTGGCGGAACATCAACCATCTTTGCTCTGCTCAGTATGACAGGCTGATGGATGCCGACGCGCTGTATCTCAGAATTTATAAATATTTTAAAATAGGCATTATGCTTATGAATAAACTGCACAGTTGCAATCTAAACAACTACACCCTCACCTAAAAAACACTCAAAAGTACATTATGTTGTCCAACAGCTGCAATATCTGTCAAACTGTAGTTTATCGATCTGCTGTCACTCTGTGTGGGCGGAGTAATACAGAAGGGTGAGGAGGCTGTAGGAATGCTGTTATTGCAGAATATCACATGGCTATATTCGAGAACCAGACAGAACTGTTGTATGTATGCATGCATGTGTGTATACACACACAAACACACACAACCCATACAATAAGAATTTGTACTTAAATTACTTGAATCATAGGAAACTTCTCACTGCATTCTAATAATCTTAATCACACAGTAAGAAAACTTGCTGTTCAAAGTAATGAATAGCATTAGCTGAAACAAAAACAATATATTGCACACCCCTGCACCTGGGTTGTTTACATTGTTTCTTGCCAGATTTTTGGAGTTTGGAATTGAAGATTTGAAGTGATGATTATGTGTATATAAGGAGTTGCTGTGTAAAAAAAGGGTTTTAAAACAAAGCCTATATGGATTGTACATTGTTTGTTGTAATAACTGAGATTCATACATTGATATTGGCAATCTCCAGCTACAGTACCTGGAGGAGACTGTAAATGTCCATTCCTGAAGCATGCTCAAAAAGAGGCCCATCAAATACTTGCTTGATGTCAACTACTATATTTAACTAGTTAAATATTCCAAGATTTATGCTAGTTATTGAAAAATGCATTCAGCCTGTACTATTTTCCAAGGATGGGATGTTAGCCTCACAAAGATTCAAAATGTTTTTGGATGTTGACTGACAAATAATTTGAACTGCTATGAGATTCGACTGTAATGTAAATATTTGATGTGTGAACTATTTTTTCAATCCGTAGAGTGTTATGTCAGAAAAAAGGGCCAGGAGGGAATGATGTGTAAATTGTTTTTTACAGAATAAAGTAAATATGAATATAGAAAGAAGTCTTTTTTAAGAATTGTGCAGAAAAATTGATATTAATATTTACTGATGTTTACATGATACTCAATTGTACACTGTCTACACAAGAAACACTGTCTCAACCAATGGTGTAAGTGTTGGGTGGGACTATTTGTGTCTGACCAATCACAGACACCGAGAGACAACAAACAGACATTTAAACAACAAAAAGTAGACATTTCCTATAGAATGTGAATAACATTGTTTGCTTTATTGCAAGATTGAATATCCTGGAGGGAAAAGTGGCCGGTTTTTGCTGAACTGACAGGACAGTTTCTGTATATTCATTATCACATTGAAAATAATACAACTTGTGAGGTTTTGTAGCAACATTTTTTTCCCGAAGTGCACTGCAATCCAGAAATCACAAAATCATCAAAAGGTAGGGTGTAATACCGTAAGACTTATTCACATTTAAGATTATTTATTCATTATTAACTCAACTGATTTTCAAAATTTGAGCTACAACCAGCCGCCATCATATAGTGAAATCCCACATTCATTTTGGTTGCATACACAATTACAAGTGTAAAAAAAAGACATACAGTTGAAGTCAGAATTATTAGCCCCCCCTGTTTATTTTTTCCCCCAATTTCTGTTTAATGGAGAAAATATTTTTTTCAACACATTTCTAAACATAATAGTTTTAATAACTCATTTCTAATAACTGAATTCTTTTAGCTTTGTCTTGATGGCAGTAAATAATATTTGACTAGATATTTTTCAAGACACTTCTATACAGCTTATTACAGCTTAAGTGACATTTAAAGGCTTAACTAAGTTAATTAGGTTAACTAGGCAGGTTAGGGTAATTAGGCAAGTTATTGAATAACAATGTTTTTTTTTTATGTAGACTAAGCTATTTTTTTATCCGATAAAGGGGCTAATAATTTTGTTCCTAAAATGGTGTTTAAAAAATTATTTTATTTTAGCCGAAATAAAACAAATAAGACTTTCTCCAGAAGACAAAACATTATCAGACATTCTCTGAAAATGTCCTTGCTCTGTTAAACAGCATTTGGGAAATATTTAAAAAAGGAAAAAAAAAATTCAAAGGGGGGCTAATTATTCTGACTTTTTTAATTTAACTGTTTTAATATTTTGGATACATAAATGTTTTAAAGATCAGCCATTTAAACTTTTTATACACCATTTCAACCTGTCAACATCTTTTTTTGTGTGGGGGAGGGAGGGCAAAACGAACCAAATTTATGATTGTACACACTATGAAACACATCGGTTTCCAACATTAACTACTAATACATTTGGGTGGGGTTTCAGTGCACAACAAAAACGTACAAAAACGCAAACACAACTATGAAAGAGAATTTGCTAGATTAGTGAAAACATGTATCTACTTAACGGGCATCTCCACTTTAGTCCAAATCTATTTCGCTTTACCGCCTTTAAACAGTGCTACCGGTCTATACACACAGCAAAACTGTTGAACACAGAAGTGAGTCTTTTGGCATATGAAAATAAAATAGCTTTGAATACTTCTTATATAAAACCATTTCTGAGGTATATAGCTAACAAGCCAATGGGGAAACATCTAGAATGCGGAGATACTGCAACGCAAGAACTGATTGGTCATCGCTGGGGTTTTAAACGCACAGTAACAACCCGCAGAGCGATACTGGAAGAGTTACATACTGTTATTGATAGAATAACCTGCACTTGAAATTCTCTCTCTCATACACACACAAACACACACACACACACACACAAAGACAACTCTTAACTTTTAAGACTCTACAGCTGCACGATAACCCTGCTTCAGTTAGACTTTGGAAATAAAAGTAGGACAACATACTTGTTACTCTACAGAAAATGGGATTTAAAGTTCCTACTTGGGACCGTCCTCGGTCAGACGTATAGAAACGCTTTGCCTTGGATGTGTGGCTTATTGCATAGCGCATAAGAACAAGGATTCGAAAGCTTATTCGTGGCTCACACAAACTAACTTAAAAGACCATTAGGTCACATTTACTAGAAGGATGGACTCTTATTTTAGTGTGTCGAAACACATTAAGTGCTATAAAGTAATGGGGAAAGGTGCACAAAACTTTTTAGCAGACTACCAAGACGCGGCTAAAAAGCTAAATGAACATTCAACACAAACTGGAAGCCGTTTTTCTTAATTTTGGCACTTAAAATTGGTCAAATTTTATTATTGTGCATCAAAAGCTTAAGTTATTTAGAAATAAAATTAATTTAGTTTTTTTTTGTACACCAGAGACTTGGGGTTTACCAATTTCCAAACAAAATATAGCTAAAATAAACCTAGTGCCTCAAAAGCTACGAGAATTCCTAGTCATATTTGAAAAGACTACAGTAAGGGAGAAGTTAAAAAGAAAAAAAGCTTCAACTATACGCATAATATAAAAACGTTAAAACATAATACTTAAAAATGGAAGTACAAATGAAAGTTTACACTTCATGCAGCTTATAAAATATTCAATAGTTTGCTTTGTTCCTTTTACGGTTGTGTATTTACATGGTATGGTACACAAGACTGTACAGACAGACTCAGTTCTTTAGGCTGTTTACAGCGAAAGACTGAGAAAAGATTGAGAGTTTGTGTTTGGCAAAGACCATGCAAAAGGCTAGCAATGCTATGCGCACTGTTGTTGAAATAAATAATGAGTTTGGCAACCACCTGTCGGTCGGGTGAAGCGTTTCCGCACGGTTGCCACAGTGTCCATCTGGCGGTGTTGTGTTCCACGCAGCTGCCACGTTGAGGGAGTTCCTTTTCTGAAAAATGCTGCCCTTTTTATAGTAAGAGCTTTTGGATTATTACAGCACCAATAAAGAGACGATGATTGGCCAATCACGTTACTGAGACTGGGCACTAGCGCTGTCCGTCTGATGAGAGGAGGCCGTTTGTTTCTGGGGTTTCTGAGTGTGTGGTTTCAGTTGCTGCTGTTGTTGTTGTTGTTGTGATGGAGTAAATGTGCTCTGCTGCTGAATAGGGAAAGCCTGCAGGATCAGTTGTGTGGGCTGGTTGCCATGGAGAAGACGTGTGCTCTGACAAAAACAAGAGAAAAAAACTATTTTTTTTTTTTTGTTTTTTTCCCCCAAAATATCTGTTATTTTCAGTCTAGATTTAAATTTTTAGGGAGATAAAAGTGGTTTTGCATTGTTTCCAGGTTTAGAAGTATAAAGACTTCCAAAACGGTGCTATATTGTAAGCACACATGCATATGTGACAGGTTTTCCTCTCTTAACAAAATAAAAATACAACTACCATGCAGAAAAAAACAGCTTAAACCAGCCTAGGCTTTTAGCTGGTCAACCAGCCTGGTTTTAGAGGGGTTTTGGCCATTTCCAGTCTGGTTTCCAGCCCTTTACAGCTTGGTCTTGGCTGGTCAGGCTGGAAAAGGACCAGCTAAAATCAGCTTGATCAACCTGGTTTAAGCTGGACATAGGTGGCTTTGGCTGGGCTCCCAGCCTGGCTATGCTGGTTTTAGCTGGTCATCTCCCAGCCTGATCAGCTAAGACCTGGCTGAAAATGGCTGAAAACCAGCCTGGAATGGCCAAACCCACTCTAAAACCAGGCTGGTCAACCAGCTAAAACCAGAAAACCAGCCTAGGCTAGTTTAAGCAGTTTTTTCATCAGGGTAAAATGACTGTGGTGAAATACCAACATTTAAAGGGCCATGAAACCCCCTCGTTTCAGCAGGGTGTTTTCACACCTCTACTTTGGAAAAAGTCAGAAAAGTGGGCGTGCCCAGCTCTGTTTAGGGGGGAGTGTCGGAGGAAGAAAAGAGGCTTGGTATGGGAGTGTCTATTTGGGCGCGCTGAATTTCAGAGTCAAAACACACAACCACAGCGGACAATGTGACTGTGTTTACATGGACATCAGTAGTCGAATTATTTGCCAAATTATTAAATGGTGGACTTTAACTGCAGTTTGGCTCTTTCATTCAGGGAATTCATTAATGTCCCTCCCGACAAACGTGATATTTGATTCGAGGCGCTGCTCTAAGCGTGTATTTTTCATGCATTGTTTGATACCGCACGGCGAATGAGAGAAAAAAAAAACTCAGCATTTCCCAGAAACTTAGATACACACGGCAGGTAGCGTCAGAAAGCCGCGTGTGTTATTCCGGTCACAAAATCCAACACGAGGTTATAGTTTGGTTGTAACTGTTAGTGCTAACTATTGCACTAGTTTGTTTGATATGAATAAAATATGAACTGAATAAACAAAGAGCACTGGTCGCTCACTTACCAAATCTGTAGAGACAGGACAATCACCAGCAACTAGAGCCGCTTCTTTATTTAGAGGAGACTACAAGCGAATCCAGATCTTAGCATTTGCAGATGAGAACAGCTCTCAGGTAAACAATAACCCTCCTTAGACACATAAGTTATTGTTGTCGCGCGTCGCGTACACTGTTAATCCACGCGTGAGTCTGAGCTCTCACAGAGAGAAAATGAAAACGAAACTTAACTGCAGCAAACTATAAAAGCAACACTTCACGCTTGTTTTGCCAACACAACGTGGCGTCTCTGCCGTCTACACTCTGACAGTAATGAATATTAATGAAGTTGCACAATAGAGCGCGCTGATTGGTTTGAACCAAGCCTTACTCATGCATTAATGCATCACACTGTAAGACGTAATAAGACTCACTCTGGCACAGATGCCCAGTCTGCACGCTGGAATACACGCTATTATATCATGGCCGTGACGCAGCTTCAAAAATTCGTTTCAAACCGGAAGTACGAATTTGCTTGAAATAACGCAAAAACAACCAATTTACACTTTTTAGTGAAATATAGGTGTCCTAATAGTGTTTTTAGCAGTGTGGGACACATATACCACTGTCAACAGCTCAAAAAATGTGTCTTGGTGTTTCGTGACCCTTTAAAGTCTGCAAGAATTGAAAGTTCCTGAGATTTTTCAACTGAAACGGAATATTTAGTAGCGGATGGAGCTTTGTTTTCGTGCATCATTTCTGCATCATCCCCATATTACAGCTAAAACTGTCAGTCAACAGAGAGTGACCGCTACTCCAAATATAAAAGAAAATGGTCAGATTTTAATTAATAAAAGTATATTTTACAAAATAAACCAAAAGGTCTTCAATACATTTTATATTTTAATCATTTTTTAAAGGTCCTCGTGAAATGCTTTAAAATGTACATATTTTTGATGTAATCTCAACTGAAACATGAAGACAAGTTGGAAAGAGTGGTAAATCGTTGATCCAGTATAAACTAAAGTAGAAAAGAGGAAACTCTGGGTGTTTGTATCTTCTAAACGCAAATTTAGTAACAGTTTTGGAGCCCACTAGCTGATAGATATTGTTAACTAACATAATGATACTAACATCTAAAAATTTGTTTTTGCCTAATTTACTTTTTTAAACGTCTTGGGACCTTTAAGGCTTATAAACTACCTTTGCAGATGGCATCATGTACTTATTAGTTGTGTATTTGTGTGCCCAAATGTTGTGTTTATATGAGTATCCTAAAGTTATTTGGCTGGTCTACAACTGCATCTACTACAAGACTTTTTCTTATGAACGGACAAAACCAAAACTTGATTTAGAGCTGTGGGCCAAAGCTAAATATATTAAACTGTTTCAAAGTTTCCATGCTTAATTTCCTAATTTATTTCAAAATAAATTGTAAATATTGCTCTAATAATACTAACTATTGAATTATATATTATTTACTCTGCATAACCAACCTATTATAATTAAAACATACAAATTCCCTAAAAGTTTCAACCTATTACACAAGTCAATCTGCACCTGCCTTTGCCTTGATTTGCTTACAACCACATTCTGAATTGTGGTCTCTCCATTGAGTAACATTGTTTATTTAAAAAAAACTAATCTGATGAATTTACAACATTTAATTACCCTGAGCTTTTTTTGTAGCCTAACAATGAATCAAACAAATGAAAGGTTAATTAAATTAGAAATTATAATGTGTATTAAAGGCATTGCTCACAACATTCTCCCTCTCTTCTCAGATGGAATGGCAGGCCAAATCAAAGTTTACCATGGGACAACTTTGGCCCGCAAGCCCTAGTTTGGGCATCTCTGGTCCACTATTTCCAG